AAAACTCTACCTTGCTTTAGTTTTCACCTTTTCAAAATCCTAAGCAAATGTCAAAAGCCTGTGGTATTTGCTTTCTGCAAACACAGAGCACAGTAACATGTTTGGTTCATCAAAACTCACTCTTTCGCAGCTGAGAGCTCACAACTAAGATGAGAAATGATGAAATTCGTAGCTTAAAACGTACTAAGGTACAGTTAATAAGTTTTCTTATTTCCGCTGTTCACCATTTTCACAGCATAACCACCTGCTGCTCCTCAGCAGGGCGGTGCGCTGGGCCAGGGGTGCGCAGCCGGGAGCGAGGAAATGACGGAGGGAAAGGAAGAGCCTGTACTTGTGCAAAGCAGGCCGGAGCGCTTCCAGCACCCCTCATTTCCCAGGATAACCACACTGGGCAAGCCTACTTTATGCTGCGCAATACAGCCCAAAAACTGTCAGCTAAAATTTGGTTTGTTCCCCTGAGCATGCTCTCTTGCCACTGAAGAGAAAGAGCACAATTTTCTCTTTGCGAACACCCCCCCCACCCCCCCCAAACATGCAGATTGTGTCCGAATTCTGATAAGGGCTGGAGGGCTGCCAGGGCCCCACAGCCTTGGAGCTGAATGGAATTACTTTGTAATTGCAAATCTGCCGGTCTTTTTCTTGGAAGGGATGAATTTGTTCACCTCAGCCCAAGGTCTCTCCGCTCTCTCATGCGGCCGGTGTTTACAGGCTCAGGTGGCCCAACGCATCTGGCCAAGAAAAAAATGCCTGAAATGTGGAGCCCATCACCTTTGGAACCCCAGTATTTTTTTTTCCCCGCTGAACCATAACAGGCTGAAACAGTTTTTTCCCCGCTCTGTACCTTGGACAGGGCTGTAAAACCTGCTCCTACTATGGAATTGTGATATATTCACCCTTCTCCAGGGCTAATGGTGCAAAACATTCCTCGGTCCGTTCATCTGATGTTAGCCAAAGCAAAGGCAAACTCGCAAGCCCAGGAAGAAGAGGGCCTCTGGTGCATCAGCCGGGGTCACACATGCTGCAAATCGCCCCCCAGGCCCCTCTGCAGGGCCCCACTTCTCTGAAAGCATAAACATGGGATTTTATTCTTGTAATTGATTTCAGCAATGTTTATTACCAACCTCAACTATCCATTCATCATTTATTGGCAATTTACTGTTTTGTGATGTGGTGGGTTGACCCTGGCTGGATGCCAGGTGCCCACCAAAGCCGCTCTATCACTGCCCTCCTCAGCTGGGCAGGGGAGAGAAAGTATAAGGAAAGGTTCACAGGTCGAGAGAAGGACAGGGAGAGATCACTCAGCAGTTACCATCATGGGCAAAACAGACTCAACTTGGGTAAATTAGTTTAATTTATTACCAGTCAAATCAGAATAAAAACCCCCTGAATCTTAAAACACCTTCCCCCCCACCCCTCTCTTTCTTCCCAGGCTCAGCTTCACTCCTGATTTCCCTCCCTCCTCCCCCCAAGTGGCGCAGGGGGACGGGGAATGGCGTTGGGGTCAGTTCATCACACGCTGTCTCTGCCGCTCCTTCTCCCTCAGGGCAGGACTCCTCACACTCTGCCCCTGCTCCATCGTGGGTCCCTCCCATGGGCTGCGGTTCTCCACACACTGCTCCAGCGTGGGTCCCTCCCATGGGGTGCAGTCCCTCAGGAGCAGACGGCTCCC